AAATTGTTCAAAGGTTGTATGTAAGTAAAGTTGCTTCTTCAGAAACCCAGGCACGGAGCCTGTTGGCTCCTCTGTGGCTGTATTTCTGAATCAATTCCTGAGATGACATTTAAGTGCCCCTAATATGTATTTGTCTGTACTTGGTAAATTGAGACCCATCTTTTCAGTGATTCTGTAACTTCACAAAATAAGCCTCAGTGACTGTCCTTGGAATAATTCAGTAGACTACCTAAGCCTCTGAATATAGAATCTAAAACAGGGGTCCTCAAACTTTTTAAACAGGGGGCCAGTTCACTGTCCCTCAGACCGTTGGAGGGCCGGACTATAGTTTTAAAAAAAAACTATGAACAAATTCCTATGCACACTGCACATATCTTATTTTGAAGTAAAAAAACAAAACGGGAACAAATACAATATTTGTATTTGCATGGGGCCCGCAGGCCGTAGTTTGAGGACCCCTGATCTAAAACATAGAGAATAAGTTGGGGAAAAGGACTGATAGAATTCTCGTAATTTGACCACTTCTGAACTTTTTTGTTGTTGTTCATTCTTAGTTGGTTCAGCATGTTCATAAGCCCAGTAGAAGTTAGAATTAGATTTCAGCTGCATATCAACAAAAGTCCAAATAACATCAGCAATTAGGGTTTTTTCTTCTTTTTCGCAGACTAATGAAGTCTGGAGATAGTCCAAAGTCAGGTGGTGCCTCCATGGGTTATCAGGCACCCAAGCTGTTTCTGTTTCTGGTTTTGCCATCCTCATCATAATACCTATTGCTCCAAAGTGGCTGCTGGAGCGTCAGCCATCACATCCACGTTACCCGCAGCAGACTGGAAGAGGAGGGGAAGGATAGCAAGGGTCTTTCTCTTCATGAATTAGCTCTTTTTAAGACACTTTCCCAAAAGTCCTGCATCGCACTTCGGCTTGCATCTATGTCCCCAGCTGGACTTAGGCGCACAGCCACACCAGCTGCAGTGGAGGCTGAGGATGAGTCTTGTAGCTGAGCGCATTCCTAAAAAAATTCCTGCCCCATCAGAGGAGGCTCCGTTACTGAAGATAGGGTGCGTGGACAGAGGGGTCATGGCTAGGATCCCTGCCGCGTGCGGCAAGGTACTATTCATGCAGACTGCAGTGTGGTAGGGAGGGCTTGCCCTCTGAAGTCCCGCAGACTTGTGGGTGGGTCTTACGCGGCTCCTCCAAACATAGCTTCAGGGCCACTCCTCTGGGCCTCCATGTCCTTTCCATGGAACAGGGGGGGAATAATCGCCACTTTGTAGAGTTGTGAGGTTTAAACAAAATCATGTCTGTAAATGTCTTTATACACAGCCGGTACTAAGTGGTAGCCATTAGAGTTGTTATTAATGGATACCTTGGGCCTTAAACCTGTATTACCATAGTGATTATTGTTTAAATTGAGGTATAGTTTACATAACATAAAATTTACCCTCTTGAAGTGTTCAGTTCAGTGGCTTGTAGTATATTCACCAAGCTGTGTAACCATCACCACACTCTAATTCCAAAACATTGTCAGCACTCCCCAAAGAAACCCCTACCCACTGACAGCCATTCCTCCCCCCCTCCCCCCCGCCCGCGGCTTTGCCCTCTGGACATTTCCTATAAAATTTCCTATCAATGGAAACACATAGTGTGTGACCTTTGTATCTTTCACTTAGCATAACGTGTTTTAAGATTTCATCCTTAGCCTGTGCCAGCACTTTATCCCCTTTTCTGTGGCCAAATGATATCCCATTGTATGGATGGATCGTGTTTTGCGTATTCATTCATCTGTTGATGGACATTTGGGTTGTTTCCAGGAATTGACTATTAGGAATAACGCTCATTCTAAGCATCCACGTACAGGTGTTTGTGTATACCTCGGTGGGGTCCTGCTGGGTCAATGGTAACGCTACGTTTCACCTTTGGAGGAAACGCCAGCTTGTTTTGGAAGCTGCTGCACCATCTCACATTCCCACCCGCAATGCGTGAGGGTTCCAGTTCCTCTCCGTTCTCTCCAACACTTGTTTTCTGTGTTTTTAATTACCGCCAGCCTGCTGGGTGTGAAGTGATGTTTCATTGTGCTTTTGATTTGCATTTCTCTAATGACTAATGATCCTGAGCATCTTTTCCAGTGCTTATCCATTTGCATATCTGCTTTGGGAAAATGTCTATTCAAGTGCTTTGCCCATTTTGAAAATTAGTTATTTGCCTTTTTATTGTTGAAGTGTAAGAGTTCTATATTTTAGAAACTAGACCCTTATCACATATGTGATTTGCAAATATTGTCTCCCATTCTGTTATGTGTATTATCTGACTGTTTAGAGCAGTCGTCTGGGGTGGATATAATGATTCCCATCTGACAGGTGAGGCAGTGACTAGTTTATCCAAGGTAATATATCTAATAACTGTGAAGATGCTACTGGAACCTAGAAAAAAGATTAGCCAGGGCTCTCTTAGTTTTATTGCTAGAAACACATCTCAGACCAGCGTATGCTAATATAGAAGTATGGTTGCTCACATCCCTGGGGGATCCACGGCTGGACCAGATCAGGGTGGGATAGTTCTGTAAATCTAGTGGTTCAAGGGATGTTACCAAGACTCTCCCTTCCTCTCTCCATCGCTTGCCATCCTTTAGTTGGCATCACTCTTACTAAGTAAGCTCTCTCCTGTATGGCAACTATGGTCACCAGTAGCTGAAGGCTAGCTGAGTCCTCCGAGCTGGACGTTCTAGAAAAAGGGGCATTGCTCTTTACCCTGGCATTCATCTCAGACATCCATAGAGCTCCCTGATTGGCCTTGCTTGAGTTAAATGCCTAGTGGAAGACCCATCGATGCTGCTGTCAGGAGTCTGAGATGCTCTGATTGGACAGCCTGGGTCCAGCCCTCTGGTTGGGAATGTGGAGATATATGATTGACAGTCTCTAGAGAATCACATCTAGTCAAGGAGGGAGGGTATAGTTCCTAAAAGAAGGGGATGTGTAGGGCAGACAGAAAATAGAATGGATGTCCTACAAGTTAAGTCTGAACTGCTAAGTTCAAGATACTGAAATGAGTTGGGGGTAGGAGAAAAGTCAGTTTGTTCACAAAAGAGAAATGCAAGATATTGAAAACAATCAACACTGAGTTCTCTGCTGTCCATTTAAACATAGTAGTTTTATAAATTAGTTTGTATAATACGGCCAGAGCAAAAAGACTAAGTTTTCAACGACGAAAACAAAATTAAAAACCTGGAACAGCCTGGCTGGTGTGGCTCAATGGTTGAGCATTAACCCATACCCAGAGGTCACGGTTCGATTCCTGGTCAGGACACATGCCTGGGTTGCGGGCTCAGTTCCAAGTAGGGAGCATGCAGGATTCTCTCTCATCATTGATGTTTCTGTCTCTCTCTCCCTCTCTCTTCCTCTCCGTAACCAATAAAAATACATTAAAAAACAAACGGGGAACAGAAGCTGAATGTGCCTGTCAAAAGGTTTGCTAGCAATTGTAGAGGCAGTGTTTTTTAATTGGAACCCCTAATGTGATTCAGAATGTTCACATCTGAGAAAGACGTTAACCAAATAGCGTATGCTAAGAGAACTCTACAGAGGGTGGGCAATTTTCCTTTTTTAAATGGACCATGCCCCACATTTGACAGAATTACAGGAAAATTCTGTTCTAATACAGCTCATTGTTATGTAGGGTGAAGTACATTTGCAAGTGAAAGTGTGTTTTTGAAAGGCAACAAGTGGACACCGGGCCAGATCATATAACCTAGGGGGCCCCTCTTACGGGCACAGAACTGATGACCTCCAAGACTGTTCTTGGCCTGCAAGCAACTCTGGAGGCCACGCTGGGCGCCACGTGGTGTTTGGGGTTGGTTAACCCGTTGAGTGCCGGGGAGCACGATGGCGCTCCTCCTGTCTTTCGCCAAAAGTGTCGGGAGTGCTATCGGCAATTGTTTTTTCTACTAGTATTTTATAATACAATCAGCAAACAATATGTGTCAAAGATGAAAACAAATGTAGTAAAGGTTTCCTTAAGTTTTTGAATATGTAACTTCATTTACTTGCGATTCATAATTTTTTTCCTAAACTGCTGTAAAATCAGCAAAAATGCCTTGGCAATTTTAGCATAGTTCCTAGGACATTGGTTGGCACTCAGAGGGTTAACACTGGTGCAAAAAAAAAAAAAATTCATAGATGCTAGTGGCCTAGGACAGACCTCCCAGACCTTTTGTCCCAGGCTCTGGATTTAACTGCAAGGAATGGGAAGCCGAAGTAGGTGAGATGGTTCGGCTGAGGAAAAGCAGCTGAGCTCGCTGGCGTCCCATGTTCCAACTCAGTGCTGACGTCACAGGTCGCTGCACTCATGCGATGTTTCTTATAGGCCAGTGTTTCAGGTGATCAGCAGTTCCGAAAAGTGCTCACACAAATAGGCCTGACTGGGCTTTGGGCGGATAAAAGAGATCTCCGTACATGGAATGGCCCATTCTTTGGACTTGACACTCACAGGTCACATATTTGAAATGCACATTTATTTTCTGTTTGAGTTCTCTGAGCCCTTCATCAATTCTGCTAACAACTTGTATGTCTGCTTGCATGTGAGGGCAGGGCTATGTCCTGTGTATCTTTTTGGCTCCCGAAGAGTCTAGCACAGGATGTGTATAGAATACAAATAATGATATTAGGAACTAATCTTTCTTGATCATTTGCTATATACCAGACACTGTGCTAAGCGTCTTGCATGGATTATCTCATTTATATCTTACAACAACCTTATTAGAGAGAGAGAGAGAAATCTTCTCATTATCCTCCTTTTAAAGGTTAGGAAACTGACATTAAGTAACTTGCCTAAAATTAGCAATCCCTGTTAAGTAGCAGAGCTGGGATTTGAACCCGGGCAATCTGAATCCAGACCGCATACTCTTAACCACTGGAAAGGTTATAGGCTGCTTAGTAACTATGGGATGGAACTGAACTGATGGGTTCCAATCTAATTCCTCTGCACCCACTGGAGAATGTCGTCAGGGACCAGGAGACCATGATCTCCCACCTGAGAATGCCCCGTGGGGAAGACCTTGCTTGTCCGGACAGGAAAGTGGACTCACCCAAGGAGGCATCTCACCTGTGCTCTGCAGGTGCTGTAGAGCTGCTGGGGGTGGAGGTAGGATAGCATGTTTACAAAATAGCATGACCGACCGGCACTGTTAAGGCCACAAAATATCTCTCTCCTTACTAGTATTTCTCCTGACTTCTTATCTTTTACAAAGGGGCTCTTAAGGAAGGGCAAGGGGTGGGATGGAGGACTTAGGAGACCCTTTCACTGGCATTAATTGCCCTCAAGCTCCTCAGCTTCATTGGCCTTGGAGAGCAAGAAAGAAGAGAACAAGACGAGAGAATGAAAAAGGAGGTGGGAGCACTACTCCGGTCTCACTGTACTCGAAGTCTTCTTGCTGAAGGTCAGGGCCATCAGTGAGGTGAACCTGTGCCAAGTTTTATATGGGTACAGTGTTTAAATAGCAGGCAAATGTCTATAAGCATTCCTTGATACTGTGATGCAAAGACTACAGGTGATCCGCTCTTCAATGGAAGTTTCAGATGTTTCTCTGAAGACAAGGTCTTTAATCCCTTCCTTGGAATGTAGCTGGGAAAGGTGACAGCGTGGGGAAAGCTTTGGGAACCAGGATACCTGGGATCTGGCCCTGGTTCCCCACACATCTGCTGGGGAACGCTGTGCAAGTCATTCAGCCACTTGAGAATCAGTTTCCTCATCTGGAAGATGGAAGGACTGGAATCCACATTTTCCTGCAATGCCTTTGAGGCCCTGGTAGTTTATGATGATGTTAGATGACGGAAGAGACTCGAAGAACCAGGATTCCTCTTTCCAGTTCTCCTCTCCTGAGTCTTCTCACATGCCTCTCTCTATAAGTGTTAGTTTGTTCATTTGTTCATCCATCCATTCATTCACTCTTCCTTTTGTCTATTCATTAATTATCTCTTAAGCACCTGGGACTTCGGGCTGTAGTAGTGGATGGATAGCCCCCTGGTCTCAAGGAGCTCACAGTCTAATTGGAGAAATAGAAATATTTGGGAAATGGTACGAGGGAGAAAAGGGTTATAAAAGGAGGCATGTTTTCAGTCTTGAGAGCACAGAAGTGGGCATGGCTAAGTGTGATAACTAAACTGAAACCAAAACAGATTCATCACGAAGGAAGGGAAGGGGAGGGGAGGGAAGGGACCTATATGTTCTATAAGTTTTTGCTCATTTTTTCAGATTAATGTTTCCCAGAAATGGAGTGAGATGTAAAAGCCCTCGCGCTTACAGATGGCAGGCTTTTAGGAAGCCCATGTCACACATACTTTTTCTTCCCTGGAGGCGGTTTTACTTACGCTAGAAATCATGTAGCTCATGGAAAGGAGTTGGTTCCACATCCCACTTATTGGGGGTTCCCAGGAGACCTGCAATAGGCAGTACCTTCTATGAGAAAGGAAGAGCCTGCAGGGGTGGGATTCAGACTGGCTGTGAAGAGCCATTCCCCACTTATAAGCTGTTGACCTTGAGTGGGTTGTACATGTCTTTGAGTTCTCTCAAGGGCAAGCATAGTGCCCCCTAGGCTACTGGGGAGATTTCAAGAGATGATGTTTGTCACGGCCAAGCCTGGGCTCCAGGAACCTCCTGTCCCTCCTTCCGTTCCTGGGGGATGGAGGTGATGCAGAGACGGATAGGATTTGTTCGCCAGTGCCCTGGAGGATTGACACTGGGAATTCTGTAGTGCAGGAAACTTACAAGGAAGATCTGAGCCAAGCTCTGCCACAAACAGAGCTATTTGTCCATGTGTACACACGTCTGAAGTCCTTCTGAGCTGTGCCAACATCCTCCACTTACAGAGAGAGAGGCCGTATGGCAAACATCCGTGCGAAGATGAATCCCAACTAGAGGAGTGGGGCCAGGGGAGCGCGGTCCAGACCAGAGGAGCTTGCACTGGAGTTGGGCTGGTAATGAGTTCCCCAGGAGGAAAGAGCATAACACGCAGGCTCTGACAGAAACCTAACCACTGTCATGTTTGAGCATCTGTGGTGGCTGATCACAGGGCTGTGAACTCCCACTGGTCAGCCCCGCTCTACCATCTTCCGAGGTGACCTCTAAGCTCCAGGTTTCCCTCACAAATGAAATGGGAACAATATGGGTACCTGTTTCACTTTATTAGTTTGTTTTTAAATATATTTTTATTGATTTCAGAGAGGGAGAAGGAGAGAGAGAGAAAAAAAAACATCAATGATGAGGGAGAATCATTGATTGGCTGCCTCCTGCACGCCCCACACTGGGGATCGAGTGGAGCATGTGCCCTAGTGGGCTCCTAGGTCGACGCTCAACCCTTGAGCTACGCTGATGGGCCGGTACCGGTTCTGTAGTGTCCTGGGAGATGGTGCCTGCCATGACTCAGAATAGTGCAAGGGCATATACTGCCCACAGCGATGGGTAGTTGATATTCTTTTACGGGACAGGACAGACATACGTTCCTGAGTTCATTCAGTTGATATTTACACTAGGAGCCGAGTCTTCTGGGTTTCCCAGCTCCCTGCCTGCCTCTCCCTCCTGACTCCACCAGCAGGAACAGTCAAGGCGCAGGGAGGTAAAAGGGAGTGGTTTTTGCCTCTCCACACAGACGGCGTTCTCCTTATTTTCTGAGAACACTCTACACAGCCCCTCTCCCGCTGCATTGAGTGCACGTGGGGCTAGACTTTGTATTATTAGTTTATGTGAAACTGCACGAGTGCACTTGGGCGGCACTCACAAGTCTGACCTTAAAACACGTGGTGTCAGATTCATCCTGCCCTCCTCCCGCCCCTGCAGCGCTTTCCTTCCCTCTGTGACTTCACTGAGATGACAGAAAACGAATTCCTACGTTACCAGGTGAAATAAGGAAATGAGAATCCTTCCTTTGGTTGTCTGGGTTGGGAAAAATATCTAACAGAGAAGCACAACACGCAGTGTAATCAAGAGACTGATTTTGCTGGCGGTGGGAAAGGCCTGGATTTAGTCCGCCGGGCTCGGGGACATTACCTCGCTGGGAGACTTCATTGTGTCTCCGTTTCCATTATTGTAATGCTCCCATGTCGGGACTGTTACGTGAATGAATTCAGACCCTGCTTGCATAACAATGCGTGCAGTGCCTGGCGGGGGACTGGAGCTCAGAAAGTAGGATCCTAGACCGTAGTAGCCTCAGGTTTCTCTCTGGTAAATTTGGGATAATGATTCTTACCTTATGAAGTTGCCCCGAAGTTTAAAGCAGGGCATGTGTGTCCAGAATCTGTACTTAGCAAAAGTGTCTGTCTGTAGCAGAACATCAGAATTTTTATCTCCAGATAAGGTTTCCAGTATCCCAGAATATCTGAAAGGTATTGTCCACTTATGTCTCAGACCCTCCTAATGTGCCTAGGCTCACTGAATTCTCAGACATAGGGACCATTCATTGCCCCCATTTTGCAGATGTGAAAACTGAGCCTCAGAGACATGAGTTACCTTGAAAGGTCTAGTAGCCGAGAGAAGTGAATTGCTTTTGGCGAGGCCTAAGAGAGAAAACGTGGCAGAGATGGGACCCCAAGTCTTTCTCCTGCCAGAGTCAGCCTGTAACTGATGCTCCTGCGAACTAAATGCCCTGTTCTATCCTCCAGAAGTTGCCTCGCTCAGAATAGCCTTCTGAAAACGAGGCTCTTTATATTATGACTTCAGCCCACTTCTGCTCTCAGTGGGTTAGCCTATTTCTCTAGATATTGTTTATTTACTTCCCAAGTCCCAAACCGTCTACTAATGGATCCGTTTCACAAAGGATATATACAAGAATCAGCCAGGTCTCGGAAAACGATTCCCTAATCCGAGATCCCAAACACTGGGAATTGCTGTGCAGCCTCCCCCTCCCTCTCCTTTCCTCCTCCAGGTGACTAATTTAGAGACGTTTCTGAGTCCTGGAATGCCAAGCGATGTATTTATAGTCCAACTTCACAAAGAAAGGGAGTTCGGAGGGAACTAACCCTGGTTGATTATTCACTGTGCGTCAACTGTCTTAGCCACATCTTTTCATTTTATTTCATGTAACAACCTCCAGCATAGTTTTGTTACTACCCTAATGTTGCAGATGAGAAAACAGGGCTAAATAAGTGACGGAGGAGAGATGCCAACCAAGGTAACACAAAGCATGTTCTCAGCCTGCACTCCCCATTGCCCTGTCCCATGAAGACATGGGGACCCTCCGATGAGGGCTGTAATTCCATCCCATCAGCCGGGGACGCTGCCGAGCACTGTTGATCAGGGCACCAATAACTCCTCTGGGTTTCTTGCACCCCGAGAGCAGCCTAAGCTCCCACCCCCTCTCTTCACTCCTGGTACATTGTCAGTCATCTTGTAAATGCACCTCCTTGGTCATTGGTTTGGCAGATGGGTGAGAGGGACGTCTGCAACTAGAACTATAACTTAGCCAATTCCCCGATGACAGTGGCATCAATAGTGCAACCACTGTCCCTGAGAATAAGCCACCGCTGTTCTCACGGCCTCTTTTCAATGAGATGAAAACCATTCTGCAAGGACCACTGTCTTACCCCGTCCACGGCGTTCAAAGAACTGGCATGAAGAGTCCAAGGTGCTGAATACTCTTGAATGGGGATTATGAAGATGATGAGGAGATGACACCTGCTTAATACAAAGCCGGGCACACACAAGTATTTTTGTGTGTGTGTGCGTGTGTGCATGTGTGTTTCCTGGCTCTGGAAAGGATGATGTCTGTTCTGAGCAGCTGCACACACCAAAACCCAGCATTTTAAGTTCTGTCCACATCCGACTGTTTGCTTCAGATACCCAGGCATGGTGTTCAGGGCACCTGAGAAGAGGAGAGGTGCCGATGGTTTGCACTGGGGCATGGCTTCAAATCTAAAGAGGATTATGGCCCATGAACCCCAGATACGGTGTGAACCTCTGAAATCGAATTGCAGACCAGGCGGAGGAGGTATAGCCTTACCGGGGCACAGTATCACATTGCTCACACGGTCCTTTCTTGGCTGGAGGAGATGGGGAGGAGGAGCAGATACATAACATAATCTTCAAATGAAAGTGAAACACCAGTTGATGGCAGCAAGTTTGGGCTCTGTGGTGAATTAGGTCAAGAAAGAAATCCCTGGCTGTTTACCATGGCAGGTAGCTTAGCTTGTAAGCACCTTTATTTCCTGTGTCTGCAGAGCCAAGGGTATGCACAGACTCAGCTCCAGCTGGGAGGGATCTGTGTCGTCATTTTGACACATCCCCTTTGTTGTACAAGTGATGGCACCAGGCCCAAGGTGACAACATCTGTTATGAGAGGAGGCTCTGCAATCCAGGGCTCCTGGAGTTGAGGCAGTTATTCACTTACTCTAGGCATTAATAACAGCTCATAGTTACTGAGCCATCGTATGGCTTTTAGGGATGGGAGGAGCTACCAGCCCAGCAGAGGTGACCGGCTTTAGATGACAAGTTGGAATAGAGGGAAGAATAGAAGAAATGCAAAGTCAAAGTCTGAATTGATTTCCAGCCTAGAGGAAGGCCCTCTTGGAGTGGATGGAAGTCTAAGTGTCAGCTGTTACGCTCGCACCTGCTCCATGGCGCAGCATGGGGTAGCTGAGACTCACAGGACTTAATTAGCCCAAGCTCGTAGGGGCCATGCTTGCTCCCCGTCACAGAACCTTCAGCTGCAGGAGACAAAACACCTCAAACTCTCATAATGGCTTTCCTGTGCACAAAGCACTTTCTCATCCATCATCATTCAACAGCCTCTGGGGTTGGCGCCCTTATCTTCCCGTGAGGCCACTGAAGGCCAAGATCCCTTAGCCAACGGGATATCAATGGGATTCAGCCCATCAATTCCTTTTCTGCTCAAGGTGTCGCTGTATCACAGAGGCCTCGTCTGAACATTCCGCACACCTCCATCACTTTCTTATTTTATATGTGATCCACTTTATCTGGCATTTTTAGGCTGTCTGTTGCCCTACTAAGGTAAGCTCACCGAGTGTGGGCCTTGTCACCACTGAATCTCCAGGGCCCTCAGGATGTATTTGTTAACAATAAGTGAATTATGCATTTTCACTTGACAGCCTTTGGGCTATGATCTGCCCCAGGCCCAATGCAAAAAGCAAGGCCCCTTGCCTTGGGGGGCACTCCACTATAGTTGGGGTTAAAGACCAGAGGACACACTTAATGGATCAAGATAGCAGCAACTCAGTCCTGGGGGTGACCACAGGGCCAGCCTTCTGCCCTCAGGGGGCGCATTAGGATGATTTGGGTGAAGAGGTGTTTTTTAGGTTTTTGTTTGAGAAAGAGAAATATTGACCTGCTGCTCCCCATTTATGCATTCATTTGTTGCCTCTCTCTCTTTTTTTGGCCCTATTTATTTATTTATTTATTTTTAATTTATCTTTATTGTTGAAAGTATTACAGATGTCCCTCCCCCCCCATTGACCTTCTCCACTACCCCCTCACCCTAGATCCCCACCCCCCACCCCCTGCTGCTTCCTCCCTAGGCCTTCACTGCACTATGCATGTAAGTTCCTTGGTTAATCTCTTTCTGCAACCCCTCCCTCTAAAATTCATCAGTCTTCAATGTCTCTGGATCTATTTTGTTCCTCATTTTATTTTGTTCATTAGATTCCACATATAAGTGAGATCATGTGATACTTGTCTTTCTCTGACTGGCTACTTCCCTTAGCATAATTCTCTGGTGTGTGCCCTCGCCCCAGATTTAACCTCAACCTGGGTTTATGGGGATGACTCCGCTAACCAACTGCTCTCCCCTCCCAGGGCTGAGGCGAGTTTTGAGATGGCTATAGAAAGCTCCCACTGGCTCCAATGACAGGAGCCAATCTTGTGTTGCTTCCCCAAAGCCTAGGTGGGGTTTTTTTTTCTTTTGAACCAATTTCACTGGCAATCAATGGTGAGAAATTAAATGGATTCATTGGACTAAGTAGATTGAGCTAGTGAAAAAAATAGCCATCTGCCGGGGCCGAGGAATGAGCAATCTGTTGGTACTTTTTCCGCAGAAATTTGGCATCTGCTGAGCGGTGTACACCATTTGCACCTCGGGAAATGCGTTTTACATCCCATGACCCTGGTCTTTCCTCCGGGTTAAAAAAAAAAAAAAGCGGGGGGAGGGGGCAACGAAATATTAGAAAATAGTAAAAAAAATCAAAACCCTTTCATTTGTTTTCAGCTGGTATTTTAGCGACTTAAGCCAACTGCACAAACTAGCCTTGCAGTGGCGGCGAGAGCCCCGCGAAGGGAATGCGGACGGGAGCCCGGCCAGCGGGCAGCTGCAAGCCAAAAAAAATGGCTCCGCTCAGCCGAGGCCGCCCCGCGGCCCCCGCGGCAGGAGGCGACTCTCCCCCTCGCTTCCGGCACCCACGCGGGACTAAAACAGAACGCGCACAACTTTTTTGGGTGCCGCTCCTCGCCCATCGCTG